GTGCGTGTGTGTGGGGGGGTAATGCTCTATGTAACCCTCAGCAGACTGAGATCACAGTGGGACGCACATTTCAGAGACATTCAGCGTTTCCGATTTTTGTTTTAGTTTAGACTGAGATGTCTGGTATTTCTGTGTGTTTGTGTGTGTGTGTGTGTGTGTGTGTGTGTGTGTGTGTGTGTGTGTGTGTGCGTGTGTGTGTGTGTGTGTGTAGCTGTGGGCAGGATGATTAATATTTTCTCCATCATCTCCAGTCTCCTCTCTGCATACATTTGCATGTTAATCTGTGCAGCTATTCACTAATTATAAATCTCTGCTCACTGATTGGTTGTTTCATGACGTATAATATGTAACCATATATGTAACCTATGTTTATGTGATTTAAGCTGTAAAAACCACCCTCATCATTCTGGGATATTCACTGTACTCCGGGTGATTTTTCTTATTCATAATTGCTTTCTGTGCAGCCATTTTCCTTCAACAAGCTTTTAAATTGATCTTCGTGCCTCTTGTGTGATGGATTACTTCCTGTATGGATGTGGACCATCAGTACAAAATGGTGGCAGTAGAAAGAAGTCATTTTTGCTCCTTTTTCAGCATTTACTGCCATCTCCATCTCACTGAAATGCTTATTGAAGTATCTCAAGTTGATGTAACCTAATGCACATTTAGCTTATCATCCACAGGAGTAAGAAACGATTATGGATATAGCATTTTGTGTAGGCCTTAAACAGCATTAAAAGAAGACATTTTATGATTATTTTCATGCCCATATTTGCATTTGGTGCCTCTACTGTGACAGCTTTTAGCCTTTCCAACCCATTTACATGCACACAAACCTACATAACACACAACAGGAAAGAGAACACCCCAAAAAGCTAACAGGGCCCTCGTTAAAATGACAAAATAGGCTGCAAAAATGAAGCTGAATATAATCTATTGTTAAGTTCACTCTTATGTAAGTTAAGTTACACAACTCAACTAAATATATGATAAAGGTCTAGTTGTTGTTGGGACATTTTACTGCTGTTACAGATAACACCTTTATTAGAATATGATAGAGAACAGAAGTGAGGGGAAAAGGTTTCAAAGGTAGAGAAATGAAAAGTAATCCATTTTAATCTTAAAGCAGACATGGAGTAATTCAGCATGACTTCTAAATGCAGGTTAGGTGAGGGTGTCGTATTGTCATACTGATATTCTGTACAAACTGTGAAGTCCACTGAGACAAATGTAACATTTGTGATATTGGGCTATATAAATAAACATTGATTGATTGATTGATTGATTGATTGATTGTATGGTTAGGTATTGATCCCTTCATATCCCACTCATTATATACTTTGAATAACCTCAGTTCCACAATATTACAGTATTAGAAAATCAGAAAAGCTATTGGACGAAGCACCGCTCATCCTCCCCCCCATCCCACATCTCTAATCCTGAACCAAGTGTAGCTACTCTCACCACAGATCACTTTGATCCGCAGACGCATTGTGATCGTTGAGGTTCATGATGCACGGCCAGATGAACTGAAACTACATAAATGATTCTCTTAATCCATTTGACTTTTGACCTCCACCTAGATCCAGCACCACAGCAACCCGATTGGGTCGAGCATCGAGGAGAGTCATTACTGCAGGCTGTGGCTAAAGCCTGGATGGCAGGTTGTATAGAAATGAAACAGAGTGTGCGTCAATAGACAAGGGGGCAGAAAAGGGGGAAGTGTATCGATTTTTATCAATATTTGATTTGATGTTTTTGGGTATTTGTTTAATTTAATTTTTTATTTGTTTTATTTATATTTGTTTGAGTTTTAATTGATTATATGTATTATTTTTTTTTTTAATTTATTATTATTTTTATTATAATTATTTGTCATTATTATTGTATTTTTATTTTATTTTAAATTACATTTTATTTGCATTCTTTTTTGCAGCTTTATTTAATTTCCATTTTTTCTAAAAAAAACTATTTTAATTAGTTTTTATTTGCTTGATTTTATTTAGCATGTTGCATTGTTGTTGGAAGAGGGAATTAAGATTGTCATTGCCAAAGTATTCAGTAGCTACTGCTCATACCACAATGAAGCCTTTGAATAATTGGATTAAAGTGTTTTATTTGTCTATAGATTGTTTACAAAAAACATTTGCGTGTCTGAGCATGTGTTCATGTACTTATATCTGTGTGTGCTTGTTTGCATTGCATGACAAAGGAGAGTCAGATCTCAGCACAGCCTGGCAGAAGAACATGTCCTCATAAAACTGGCTTGTTAAAAAGGCTTTCTATTCTGCACAGAGCTTTCCCACATGTTCCTGACCAGGGGGACTCAAATATCTATAAACATAGAGTTTAATGGTGCCGTGTGCATCAAATGACACATTTAATCTTGCATACTGGTGTATTATGATTCTGTAAAACCCATTGTGCATGCTGCATGAAACATTTGTCCTAGATTATACGTGCAAATAAATGAACCTAATGAAGCAAAACGCAGCTGGAGTGCTTTGGTTTTTAAGTGTATTGCACAATGTTGATTTCACACCAAGAGCGAACGAACACAGAGTGCACCAAGACAAGACAACAACATGGTGGTCATTTGCATATCACAAGGTAGCCCCTCCCTAAAGTATACCCTATTTTATAATTTATACACTTTATTAAGCGCTTCGAGATTTGTCTTGGCAGATGAGAAGCGCTATATAAATTCAATGTATTATTATTTATGATCTATTTTAGCCTAAATAGGATCATCATTTACTAAATGAAAATCATGCTGTATTGAAGTACACTTAAAATGAACAAGTGAGACCATAAACTCATTAGAAAGATATTACTAAGGTATTATATTGAGCAAAAATAAAAATGTTCATAGACTTCTATACAATCAGCCTCTAAAACGAATGGAAACGCCCCCTACAGGATATTAGAGAGAATGCACGTATTAGGCATTTCCGCATTTGGCCCATGTGTGTTTAATTTAAACATTTTGGAGACTTTGCCTAAAAACTCTTTCTTGTTTACCTTTGATACTGAAGGAAATGTCTTAATTTGAAGAGGCAAGTTATAAAACATCTGTATTTATATGATTACGTTAAGAATTAGAATAGATGCGCAACTTGAAATGCTTGTAATGTTATAGCCTGAGTTGATTTGTGAACACAGTATGCATTTGTGTTTGTGTCATACCTGCAGAAGACTCCCATGGTCTCGATCAGGTAGCACTGCCCCCCGTTGAAGCAGAAGTTGGGCAGCATGTCGCAGGGAGAGCGGCAACTCCCGTTCGTCATCTGGAAACCAACACGGCATCCACCCATCCCGTCTGACCCGTCCAGAGACGCTGGAGCACCTCCTGCTGCGGGGACGTTTGGTACCGGAGCTCCTGCACCTGGAACTGAAGCCCCAGGGGTGATGGACCCGGACCCTGGTGCTCGAGGCTTGGGGCGAGAAGGAGATCCAGCGGCAAGTCGGAGATCGTCGTCGCTCTCGTAGGTGTCGGTGGTAGTGCTGTAGGTGTACTCATCGGCAGTGGGGGACACGCCATCTTCGTACGGTGTGAGGTAGTCGTAGTTGTCCGGCATCGCCCAGGAGGTCGAGTCGCCTCCCTGCAGCTCGTGGGCCAGCGATGAAGGAGAGGGCGGGGCCAAGTCGAGGCCACGCCCACGAGAGGAGGGATCGAAGAAGTCCACGTGGAGGACGTCGGGGTTAGAGGGCACCGAGGGCTGGGCGGTGGTGGTGGTGAAGAGGCGGTCAAGATCAAACACGGCGGTGTCCTTGGCGTTGATCCAAGGTGGGTCGGTGTTTGGCAAACGATCCTCATCCTCCTCTTTTTGCACTTCCTTGCTCTCACCCAGGACGTCCTTTCCGCGTGGGTTGCTAAGCAGGAGGTCGTCCGTCTCGGCAGAATCGGGGCTGATGCGAGGTGGAGCAGAAACGGCAACTTCGTCCACCGCAGGAACCAGAGTTTCGCCGAACATGCCGCTGCTCTGGTCGTCTTCCTCCTCTCCGGCGCGAGGGATCCGTCCCGCCCTCTGAGTGACAGCGTCCGGATTGGCCGAGCTCCCGGTTACAGCGACCACGACCTCATTGACCTTGACAGGCCCCTCCTCCTCGTTAAGCAGGGCGGTGACATTGGCCGCTTTGTCCTGCTCAGTGGCAGTGGTCCCGGCAGCATTTCCTACAAACACAAATAAATAACTTTCTTAGTACACATTTACCGAACCGGATATGAACGAAAACACCTTTTCTTCCTTCTAATTTGCAGAAATTCCGAGAGAAACGCAGTTGAAAAAATACCTCTGGCATACTTAAAGAGGTGGAAAGGGTTTCCCTCGGGCTTCATTGTTTTTATCGATCAGCTCTGGTAAATTCTCTATTGACCTCTAGTTACAGGAGGGTATGGATAATTAGGAACACAAGATGAATGCTGCTGGTTTCACATAGAGCACCAACAATGTTAAATACGGAAATACTGTAAATAAATAAATAAATTTGAAGACAGAAAATACCCTTTTTGAGTTTATAAAATATGCAGGTAAGTAAAATAACTTAACTCCGTTCACATAAAATGTTTTCATGAATGCAGCTCCTGTATGATCTCAATGGATGATTAGACCTAAAATGAACACCTGTTGGCAAATTATGTATTTCGAATTAACTATTAGCGTTTCTTGCTTCCGAGTTATATGCAGAAGTAGAGACCATCAGCACTGCAGAGTGTCATGAGGGATTTATAATGAGTGTCTGTTTTATGGACATTTCGCTCACGACATTGGCGAATAATGATGTCCTCGGAAAGTGAGAGTCTGACAAAGTGTTTGACAAGTGAAAGTGATTGGAAAACATGCACACAGCTTTAGAAAAATGTCCCTCTGTGTAGCGAGCGGTAGAAGAAAAAATAATGCTGAACCCACACAAGCCAACGTGAAATCAGAAGATTGGCAACCATTACTATGAAAAATGAAAGACTCGAAGGGTTGAAAACAAACTGGTTGGGGACCGAGCAGGAAAAACATCACCATCTACTTCTGTTTGCTCTCAGTTCCAGAAATACAGGAATTTCTATTGAGTGGTTCAGTGATTACTTTTCTTTTAAAGACTGACCCGAGTGGACCGTTGATAAAAAGCAATGGGATTTCTCCATTTGTTTGTCCAATATTGCAGGAAATAAGCTCTGTGGCAAACACACGTTTTGTTCGGCAGGATAATCTCCACATATTACTTTTTTTATTTTTGAAGTAAAAAGCTAACGTTGCGTCACGTAGCAATCGCTAAGCTAAAGGGGGCTAATGTTTTCGGCAGGATGACGTTTAGTAGTCTCATCAAGTCGCTTGTTAGCAACCGCTGCTTGTAAGAAATACAGAAGCTCTGAACATTCACAAGTAGAGTATTTACTGAATTTACAAAATAGGCCTTATTTCCGGCCTCCAACTAAAAACATGTTTAAATTATTGTTGACTTTAAGACGAGGGAACTTGAGGTGGTAAAGTCTGAGTCATTTCCTGGTTTTATGACTCGTCCCTGCATCACTCTATTAATCTCAGCGATACAAATAAATGCCTATTTACTGAAATCTAATAACAATGAATCCCCCCAAGATCAAAAGAGCTGAAACATTTTTTTATTTTCCTGGAATATCTGCAAAAAAAAAGCACTGGGCAATTGGATGCAACATCTGCTTTGTATCTGAAAAGAAACAAAAACATAGAATCACTCTTTCCAAAGAGATCTTCCAGTCAGTCCACTGCCACACAATAACAGTCTTCCTGCATGTGACGGACGAAGTGGGCTCAAGAAGTCTGGCATTGGGTGAAACAAATTAAAACGAGATGTGATTGGCTGCGTACTTATCCCCCGGTCAATTACTTCATCCGAGGGCGGCTCATTGAGTCATGCAAAAAGCTGCTTCATGGACGCTCCCCCCCTTTGGATTAAAGGAATTATACACTAATGTATCTGAATGGCAGGGATCTGGGATTAGGGATTATGGGGCTGGAGAAGGAGGGATTTGGGAGACTTTCGGGTTGCCCTGCAGGGGGGGGGTGATGATCTCAAAGGAGACGCAGACAAAACAGTGTCTTGACAACTGTAAGAAAACTTTAAATACGATGTATATACCATACACTTTAGTTAAAGATATCAGACATATCTTTCATCAAAATGGTTGACATCACATTGTTTCGGACAACATCTCTTGGGTGGTTGGGGGTTCAATTCTTGCCCTAATGTGAATTCATGCGTGTACTGGGGGTTGTATAAGCAGCTTTGACAAACAGCCTCCAACCAATGGCATTTGTGAGGATATCTCTGCGAGGAGATCTTTGAAGGTAATCTGTAATCACGACCCTCTGGCATCTCCAAATCTCTAACGAGGTGCACCCTACATTTATAGAACCAGTCACTTATCATTTATTATGAACTCCACCAAAGTGTTATCTCTCAAACACACTATCAGCTAGGAATGATCCATATATTATACCTTCATCACTGATAAAACTGCAACCAGGAAACCAGAGCAACCTTTACAAAATGATTGTCTTAAAAACGCACCTATTTGCCGCTGCTTTTAATTGAGCTGCCCATACTCACACTGCAGTATGCCTTTTTAGTCATGTATTCTGTACCACCTGCTGTGTTTATTATTTAATTTATTTCATTACCTTTGCTTATTATGCATGTTTTTAAATGCCTTTTTAACAATGTATTTATGCTGTATTTGTTCTTAAATGCCTTGCCTTGCCTTGCCTTGCCTTGCCTTGCCTTGCCTTGCCTTGCCTTGCCTTGCCTTGCCTTGCCTTGCCTTGCCTTGCCTTGCCTTGCCTTGCCTTGCCTATTGGGTTTCATCATATGTGAAGCCTAAGAAGACACGAAAAAACCCTTAGCAAATATGGGGGAAATACTTCAGATGGTATTTGACTCCCAAACTCATGAGATAAAAGTTTCTATACAAAAAGTCTATACTTTAGGTATTATGTGTTTCTGAAAAAGAGTTATTGTAAAAACCAAACCCTTCATCTTTGATCCTCACATTATAGTCTAATGTTCACATACAGAAACTGAAGATGTATCAACAGTCCAGTAGAAACACTTTGCAATAATCAAACCACTGAAATAAACTAATGCATATCTGCACTGGAGATATTGGCTCTGCTCCAATGTTCCATTTTAAATAAATAGGCTTTTCACTGTGATAAATCATTGTTTATAATGCAACATTTCTGCTGCTGCAGTCTGCATTTTATTCTCTCCGCCTCTACTGTCAAAGTGGCCTTGAGCTTTTTCTACTAGTGGCTGATCTTCGGTCTTGTGAAGAGGATCATATTTTATTGTTGAATAGCAGGACAGTGCTGATAAAGAGCATACCTGCATTGACATGGAAATCTTGAATAAACACTGATCCTTAAAGGTCCCACGTCATGGCCATTTCTACTGATCATATTTCCATTGTTGAGGTCTACTAGAATAGATTTACATTGTTCAATGTTCCAAAATCACATTGGTTTCTCATACAGCATCTCTGTAAAGTATGTGTATTCACTCTCTGTCCTAAACGGCTTGTTGGAGCTCCTGACCCCCCCTCCCCCCTCCTCCCTATGAGCCCACTGTGCTCTAATGTGTGTCTGTGTTACAATGGCGTTTGCTAGCAACCAGAAAATGACATCAGTAATGACAAACAGATGAGAATGAAGGGTGGGGTCTGGGTGCCGTGCGGTCTGGTTGCGGTGTTTGCGGGACGTTGCGGGGCTCGCTGCTCCACCCTTTGAGACTCGAGGAGCCGACAGTGTGAGCTGTATTGCTGGTGTCGTTTCCTGGTTGCTGCGTGGGGT